ATGAGGTTACAGAGATGGTTCATTAAAACGTTCCCTCAAAAGATGATTCTTCTTGAAGTAAGAGGCAGTAGCTGCAAAATGATCAATACACCTTGGAATATTTGCAGCAGATTCAGGGTAATTCCCAATTAATGATTTTTTCCAACACATTAAAAGAAATCTCTGCGTACTGTTAGGAAAGAGGCTGAAGGTCCTTTTCACAATGAATCAATTCAGAGTTGATCAGGACCATAAAAGGCATGATTTTTCTGCACTGGCAGTTGGGTTCTTGAGTTGTTTCTAAACCCTTGGTACATATTAAACCCTTTCCTATTGGTTTTGGCAAACCCAGGTATGAAAATCCCAAGGAAACCAATTATGTCACTGAGTTGAATAACAGGGTTTATTGTATCCATTTTAGGAACGCTGCTATGATCAAGTTCATAAAAAGACACACCTTGAACAGAGCTGAAAACAGCAAACATTCAGGGACTGAGTCAACATCTCATTGCCAAGAAACATGCAGCTGAATATTTCTCCAGAATTTGCAACTCTGCTGAGAAGGGGCTGATGTTCTCTTTTAAGGATAACTACTGCTGTTTGTACTTTAATAAGCTTCAGTGGGACTAATACACAGGAATGTACAACACAATTTTATGTCAAATGGAGGGCTCAGATGTTTATATATTTTATAAGTTGCCTTTAGGAATCACCTACTTCCATTTGTCCCAACTGTCCTCACAAATTGCACATAAAGGAATAGACCCACTGCATGTCTTTTTTAATGGGACAAATGGAGTTTACATATGAAATAGACATGGTACATGTCACAAACAGGGGTTTTCTAAAATAAATTTTCACATTGTGGCTGGCCAAACTTAATCTCTTATCAACTATGCACTAGCAGGACTGAAATTCTTGGCCCATGTGCATAAATGAAATGGATTTTTAAAAAAGATTTATTTTTTATTTATTTATGCATACAAGAACTGGAGTCTAGGCCAGAGGTGCGGGGGGTGAGAGGATTCACCAGAGACAGAGTGGGGAGCAGAACAAGTGAAATACACTGCTGAAATACACTGAAATACACTGCTAAGGGGAGCAGCAGGAGAGACAGGAGAGGTCTGCTGCACCATGTGGGTCAGCTCCCTGGCAGGGGATTGAACTGATGCTACAGTGGCTGGCAATAGCTTGATAGGGATGAAACTTTAACTCCTTTGTCACCAGGTAGGGCTGAAATGGACTTTTAATCTGTTTTGGTTGAGGCATATTCTCCTACAATTGTACTGTTACAGAATGGTAAAAATGTAAAGACCTTGAGTTGATCTTTCTAAATCATAAAAATATGGTTGAGTAAAAGGGTTAGTAAAATTATACTTTGAATTAATCTAGCCAGAATCCTTCCTTGCTGCTGGAGAACCACTATCTTTTCAAATTACTTTTGTTAAAAAGAATTTTAGACCTATTCATTCTGTTATAGAACTTGTTTGGTTACCAAAGATTTGGAAAATTATGCAGATTGTGCCTGGAGTTCAGAACAGTTCAAAACAAGTTCAGGAGAAAATAGACATGTAAAATGAGGTTTTCTCTGTTTTGAAGGAGTTTAAAAACATTTATACATTATTGCAGAGTAAGAATAAATGAAGAGAAAGCAAATTATTATATTCAACATCATGGTAAAAAACTGAAAAATGGGAAGAAATCTGATGTGGGGTAATACATAGTTTTTGCTCTGAGAGAAAAGTGACCTTTTCTCTCTGAATAGAAAACTGTTCATCCCATCTACAAGACAGGAGAAAAGGAACCTTATTTCCCTCAGTAACCTCTGGCAAAGTGTGGCAATGCTTTCTTCTTTATAAGAAAGAAAATGTAAAGAACTTGAGTTGATCTTTATAAGAAGATTGAAATTATCTTTAATATTACCTGCTATAGTGTCAACTCAATTTCCTGGTCTAACACTTAGTACTGGAACAGTTTACAAGTTTCCAGATGTCAGAAAGTCACTCTGCCTTGTCATCTTTCTGACCGAATGGAAGTGACTCGGTTAAGCTCTCCTGTAGATGCTGTTGTTCAATTTCCTTTCCTTGAGTTGCTCCTTTTTCTATTTGTTTCCTGCTTTTCTTAATTTCCTTCATATCTCTGTCAAGCTTCAAAGACCACCCCAACGCAGGATGCGTACAAGGATTATTTCAAAGCCAAAGCTTTTCTATTTCTGGTCCATGTTTCACAATTGCAGGAGCAGGGGGGACGGCTCTGCTGGCCTGGCCTTTCATTTACCTGCACTGCTGTCCTGTGCTTTGTTCTCTGTAGAGCCCTCGACTTGGTCTTATTGTTGCACTTCACAGTTTATTATTGTTCTTTCTGGTCATGGTTTTGCCTTACTAGCCACTGTATCCTATAATACTAACAGTCCTGATTTCTTATTTTACCATTAAAGTCATGGTTCTGAAGCACAACAATTTTTAAGCCTTTTAGAACACTTCTCAATAAATGCTTTATGTGGACATGAAACTAATAACCTTCAAGGGCAGACTTCACATCCATGTACAATATAATCATATTATAGTCACAATTACAGTCATCAGAACAACCTCATGGATGAATGGCAAAGGGTAGTTATTGTGCGACCTACTTACAGTAAAAAATGCAGGAAACAGCAACAGTGAAAATTCATAAATACAATTTGATCTCTTTTTAAAGGAACCAAAAAAAAAAAAGAAATAGAAAGCTGTTATAAATAGGGTTGTGCCACACACTGTTAATTACCAATTTCTGTTTCTCTGGTAAAAAAAAAATCCTCTTTTTTCAGGTGCTTGGTGACCATGGAATTGAAGAGAAGGTGCACTCTCTTCACCCTTGTGGGTAAATCTTAAATCATTCTAAGCCAACCCTGAAAATTACACTTCTGTGATTGTGATTGGTTTATGAAAGTGCATATGATATAATGGTAGCAAATGACAAGCCTATTGAGGGAGACTTAGGAAGGTTTTGCTTAATCCTATAAAGAGTTACAAGCTGAAGACATTCCCATCTCTCAGCCTTTGAATGGGTTTATGTAGGGTCCTGAGGCATGAAGTTATGTATGGAAGCCTTCTTGTAACTGGGAGTTTATAGCCTGGCGATAAAAACCACTAAGATGACATGGTAGAAATTTTAAAAATGCCTGGACCCTTGATGAGGTTGTTGAGTCACAAAATTTACCATACTAAAACTGCAACACCTCAAAACTTATAGTATCACATACAACTTACTAGATGTTAGTATTGTTTAAACCAGTTTTAAATGGATTTTCTGTAAAACTGATGCTGAATGCACCCTTACTGATAAGCTTCCAGCAATTGTTAGTTCTTCTGTTTGATTATATCCAATGAAGACATTTAAAGGTTTTACAACACCTACTAAAGTTGATTTTTTTTCTTTTTTTTTTTTTTTTTTTTTGTGGGACCCTCCCCGGTGGCCGGGGATTGAACTGGCGCTGCAGAGGCTGCGGGCAGACTCGCAACCCTGCACTCAATCACTGTGCCAACAGGGGAGGACCTCCTACTAAAGTTGATTTTAATTGTGATGACTTATTACCAGTAACGTAAATGTATGGTTACTTATATTGAGAATTAAGTAATTTAAACACATTTGTGATTGCATTGTGTCTATGAATAAAGTTGCCGATATTGATGGATCAAAAACAGAAACAAAGCAAAATAAAATTCTGAAAATATTTCCCAAGAGATTTTTTTAGAAATACAAAAACTGGCTAATGATGTCAACTATAAGTAAATCATTATGTCAGTATGCAAAGTAATGACAAATTTGAACTCAGGCAACATGAGTTGAAATACTTGTATCTGAATATACCATTGGGACTAATTATTGTTGTGGTGTGTCTAAAATTTCAGTTGAAATTGGATATTTTGTTTCAAACACTTGAATGTTATAAAAAGATCAATTCTAATTGGGAAGTAGAGCAATTTCTGAAATTACATTAAAATTTATTTTATTTTCTAATGCATAATCAACCTGAAAGGGTGGTAAGAAAATTTAAATTGTATATTTATATGGAAAAAAACTAAAGTAGCATGTCTAAATAATTATTAATTTTTTATTTCATTTCTGCTTAAGAATCTACATTGTGGAGTCTAATAACTTCAGGAGTCAAAAATATTAAATAGTATCCTATATAATAAATATAAAAGCAGGATAACAGAAGCAACCATGGAAATATATCTAGAATTAGCCCCAAAGAATCTGTAAAGTGAACTGATGGATGAAATACACAATGAAATAAAACCAACACTTTTGAGCTTTGCAATCCCCTCTTAGAGTAAAAATTTTATACTGAAGATAGAAGAACAGGAAATAGCAAAAGCACATTTTTTCACAAACACAAAAGTATCTGATGATTAACTATAATGGATGGAATAATCTAAAACTGAGCTACTGTTTGCTAACTAGAAAATAGTCAATTTATATTCAGTTCATTTAATGTTAATATTAATGAAACAATTTGTTTTGATCATACAATAAAAATAATGTAGTTTTAGAGTGGATCCCCAATAAAATATTAGTATAGCAAAGGAAGTGTCTTTCTAATTTGTAAGGAAACTTCGTTGGTTAATAACCAGTGATTTTGGTGCAGTGCTCCCTCTGCTGGAAAGACTGTGCCATTACAAAATTACATCAGTTCTTTAGAGCTGAAGAGACTAGTCTTTGATTCTCTCCACCCTGTACCCTGGAAATACCCCACAGTAGGGTAGGGGGTATAGGACCAATACCTGAGCCAAACTCCAGACCAACTGAAACCAAATCTCCAGAGGTAAATTCTGTGCACGGCAGTTTTAAATTCACCAGTTGATGGCAAAAGCTTATCGAATACTTTCCTTTTACTATGTCTGAGAAGGATGTGTGGTTTCACATGCAACAACAGACCCTAGCCTATGTGGAAGGCACATGAATTGTGGAGGTCTTACTCTAACTGAGTGGAAAGGAAACAAAGGTATTGTGTGTTATGATTTGGTTCACTTTACCTTGGGCTTTTCATCAAGGATCTGCTGACGGATCTCCTTGTGCTTCTCAATGAGTTTTTCTTGCCTTTTACTTTGTGCCTCTTCTAACTACAAGAAAAGTAAAAGGAAAATAATTTTCATCTAAATGTTCAAGTGAATGCTTTCACCTGAAAATGGATAGCTAGTAAGATCTATTATTGCAACAATTATATAATAATTTGGTATTATTAGGTATTTAAATATTTCATATCCTGATCAAGAGATGCTCTTACAAGTGTGGGAAACTGTTGATAAATATTCAGGTTTGGTGATGGGTGCAGAGGATTAGTGGAAGGGGGAGTAAGGTGATCCATTGATATTTTAAAAAAATCATAAAAATACTATTTTTTTGTGATAAGAAGTGTCTCTGGAGGTTGCCATCTTTTATACAATTGAGCAACTAAAGATTTCTTGGGGGAGGCTCTCATTTATATCATGTTTCTGGGCTACTGACTGGAGAAATATATTTTAAGGGTGTGGGGAATGATTTTTTATGTTTATCTTCAGATGCACCCTTTTATATAGAGGATTACAATTAAACTTGCAAGAGACAGGAATTATGAAGTGCTTTCCTTCTGAAGCCATTCTGCTGGTACTGGTGATAAGCAGATATAACCAAGCCTGGCATTTCAGTCCAGAGACTCACACTGTGCTTGTCAAAGGATCACATGGTTTGTAAAGGAATGAGGGATTGAAGGACATACCCTCTTGATGTACTGCACAACCTCCTGGATATAGGACCGGATCATCTCTGTCTTTTCCCTAAAAGCAAATTACACACACATATTATTAAAGAACTCAGCTGGCATCGATGAATATGGGAACCTCACCCTTCCAGATGAAAAGGTACAGAAATCTCTACATTCTTATTACACTGCAGGAAAAGTACAAACCAACCAGCTCTGGACAAAGGTCAGGTTCCACCCAAGGGCAAGCTTTCATTAAGTGCTTGGAAGTTCCCTGATGATCTGGGAAATGAGGAGTTAACCTTTCCCTAAGGGAAGCTCTCCACTCAGTCTTTATCCAAAAGACTCTGCCCCAGGTGCATCTCAATACTTGACTGAATTGCTCTTTGAGTTCAGTGTTAAAAATTTTGCAATACGCGGATATTTTGGGAGGTTAATCAGAGGAGAAATTTTACGGATGGGTCTTTGTGTAGATGAGAACCTGCTATTCTGATACAGAATAAAGTCATCACCAGGTGAGAGGTGGTGATGGGGTGAGAGGGGTTCTTTCTCCTTACTCTTCCATCTGAGTTTTGTCTTTGGATTTAGCTTCTGTTATCTTCTCCTGCCTCTTTTTATCCATTTTCTTCTTCAATTCCTTCTTCTCTCTGAAGTCAAAATGGAAGGGAAAGGGAAAAATTGGTGAATCAGATGGCAATGTGTGTTGAATATACTTATAAACACAAGTCCATTGTAATAAGATTAGAGGCTTACTTCTCACAGATTTCTTTGAGCTTCTTTAACTGATTGTTCTGACACTCTTCAGCCACATCTGTCAATTTTTGAATCAGCTGGGAAAAGAAAATGCCAGTTTGCTGTTTTACATTATCATCAACAAAGTACCCTCTCCCTCTGCCATGCTCCACAACAGTGTCTGTGGTTAGGAAAATCTGTGACTGTCATTAAACAGTGGTTAAGAGTGCCAGACCTCCTAGGCAATGAGAATATAATTTAAAGCCAACACCTTAGCTCAGTTTGAATATGGAGTTCTTTTCTCTTTATATTATTGTGCTGATTGCCACACTTTGACTTAGCCCCCCTCCCCCCCAAAAAAAAACAAAAAAACTAACAGTGGGGACCATTTTACCCAACTCTTGTTCTTAAGACTTATTAAAGGGGGAATATAGGGAAACTGAACAAGGGGTCAGGGAAAAAAAAGACAAAACTAACAGGGAAATTAAATCTGAAATATACAGCAGGGGGAAGAAGAAGGGGTCACAGTAGGGAAGGAAAGGGAACAAGGGACTATGGTGATGGTTCACAGGTGATGTGATTTTGGTCAAGGAGCCTACTTTATCTGAACCTACATTTTCTTGGTTGTAAACAAGATTATCAACAATTTTTTTCTCCTGGAAGAATTTTGGATAAAAATGAGTATGATAACAATGTACCTCATAATCAACTGTGAATAGTAATTCTTGTTGACAGCTATCATTCACATTTAATTGTTTCTAGGGTGACATTAAATACCCAACTTAGAAATGGATGTGTGTGTCATTGCTGTGTCTAATTTTCAGAGAACATCAGAGATTCTCTTCTGTGAAACCACTGAACAGGGAATTCATTTAATCCTTACATCTATTTTGTTATTAGACCACGCTTCAAGAAGGAAGCACCCATGTTTTTATACCCTCAGTGCTATGCACAATTCCCAGCATTCAGTAGGTGCTCAGTAAATCCTTGTCTATTAAATGAAATTAACGTTGTCCTCCAATCCTGTCTCAATCTTTATTCCACATGAAAAAAACTAGGGAACTCTGTCATTGCTTTGGCAGAAGAAGCAACTGGATTCAATCCTTCTGACTAGAGCCACCAAACTGGTGGCTCACCTTCCTGTGAAAGGTCCCAAGGCTGATTCCCCAAAGGGGGTTCTTAGATACAGCAGGGCGGACCAGTTTTTTATAAGAAGCAGCTATGACAGTGACAAGGTAACCTAATCATAATACCAGCAAACTTTCACGGATAATTTACACACATTGGGCACAGTCTAAAGAGTTTTATATGTTTTATATTATTTAATTCTAACTGCTGCCCCATGAGTTTGGTGCTCCTGGGCTCAAGGTCTGGGCCACAGCAGTGGTGAGAGGTAGAGTGGAGTATAAATGTACATCATAGGGGCATCCCTGGTGGCACAAGTGGTTAAGCGACAGCACTATGAAGCTATCCAAGCCACTGCAGCACGAGTTTTATCCCTGGCCAGTGAGGTGACCCACATGGGGCAGCAGACCTCTCCTGTCTCCTCTACTGCTCTCCTCAGCAGTGTATTTCAGTAGATCTGCCTGTTCTGCTCCCCACTCTGTCTCTGGTGAATCCTCTCAGCCCCCCCGCATCTCTGGCCTGTACCCCAGTTCTTGTATGCATAAATAAATAAATCTTAAAAAAAATGTGCATCAGATTGTGGATGTGGCCTTCACTACTCTCCATGTTGCTTTTCTTTATGATGTTGAGTATTATTTTTATTTATTTGTTTTATTTATACAAGAACCGGGGTACAGGCCAGATGCATGGGTGGGTGAAAGGATTCACCAGAGACAGAGCGGGGAGCAGAACAGGCAGACTGACAAAATACACTGCTGAGGGGAGTAGTGGGTGTGACAGGAGAGGTCTACTTCACCATGTGGGATCCTCACCAGCTGGCGGGAATCAAACCGGCACTGCAGAGGCTGCTGACAGATTCACAGCGCTGTGCTCAACCACCTGCGCCACCAGGGGAGACCCGAGCATTATTTTTAAACACTCCTTTTTAAGAGAATAAAAGAAGTGTAGAAAAAAATTGCCTTATAAGTTAAAATAAATGCACAGTTACTTGAAATTGACATAAAATTTGATGTATTCATATGTGAAGTGGATTAAGTATGAGCAAATATTAACTGGGGCTTGGGCCCGCAGAAAATCTACTTGGTCATTCAGAAGAAAACTGCCTGACCACGACTGTCACAATGAAAGAAATCATGAATGACTATAGCTTTGTAGTGCCACTTATCAAGCTGTCTAGATGTAAGATTCTGATGTGCAAACACCGGCCATTTCCTTGAGGATCCCTGCAGTGCCTCTATTACAGCTGAGAGTTTACCCTCAGCACCTTCTCCTGAGAGGGCATTTCTCCTCTCCCATTCACCCCAAGGGGTTACAGAAGGATAATCAGGGACATGTATGGGGAACTTCAAAATACAGATTCTAAGGCCTGTTTAGAACTATGGACTCTGAGTTCTAGGGATAGGGCCAGGAATTGGTATTTTCAAAAGCCTCCTAGGAGATTTGGACATTGACAGATTTGGGGCCTCCCTTCTTTCTACCCACTGCTAAATCTCCTAGCAATTTTGTTTTTAAATTCAGTGGCATTTATACTTCTTTTCTTATCGCTATCGTTCATCTAACTGCAGAATATTTTCCTGTTTTCAGGGTTATGTCAGTACCTGCTCACATTTAGTGCTTTCTTTCCACCTTCTGCAACAAACACACTGAGCAAGAGATCTCAGTCCTTGTACCCAGTGATTCTGCTTTTTTATTTTTATTTGGTTTCAGTCTCCACCCAGTGGCCAGTAGCACACTCTTAATATTCCACAGTAGTTCCCTGTCTACTGCATCCATCCATTGGCCTTCCTCTTCCCCAGGCCATTTGCACTTGTTCTTTATTCTTCTCAGAACTAATTTCTATCTCCTTTGGTCCCTTTACCTCAGTAATGCACTTTTTCCTACAATCCACCACACATAAATGAGGTAGATACCTACAAATACCTGGAAAGATTCTAGAAAGTCTGATCTGATGATCTGACTTTTCAGATTATGCTACTCAAAGTGTGGCTCATTGACCAGCAGCACTGGCATTGCCAGAGAACACAGAACTGTAAATTCTCAGTCCCTACTCATGATCAACTAAGTAAAAATACATATTTTAGCAAGATTCTAGGAAATTATTATGCAAATCAAAGTTAGAGAAGTACTATCTAGATTACTGAGAAAAGTGGACACTATTTAGAAGATATCCTTTGCTATGATCTGAATGTTTGTATTTCTGTTTAATTCATTTATTAAAATCCTAATCCCTAATGAGAAATATCAGCAGGTAGGGCCTTTGGGAGATAATTAAGTGATGAAGGTACAGCCCTCACCTCATGAAGGCATGAGGGTGCCCTTACAAAAGATACGCAAGAGAGTAGAGAGCTGTCTTGTCCTCTCCACCATGTAAGGACACAGTAGAAGATGGCATCTGTGAGCCAGGCAGGGGGTTCTACCAGAATACCCAAACTACAGATGCCTTTATCTTGGATTTTTAGGCTTTCAGAACTGTGATAATAGATGTTTATAATGTTAGATCCTCTGTCTATCGTAATTTGCTATACTAGCCTGAATTGACTAAGACACCCTTTCAAACTCCCTCTTCTCTGTCTCAAAAGATGCTCAGATCTTTACCTGCATTCTCTTCATTATCTCAAACTCAGCTTCCTTGCATCTAAAATGGGGACATTTCCTTTCTGAGGTGGTAAAAACTGAAAGAGAAAACATATGCAAGCCCTAATAGACCAAATTATAGGTTCTTAACTTGGTTTCCTTCCAAGAAAAAGTTTTTCTTTTTTAAGATTTATTTATTTATTTATTTATACAAGCACTGGGTACAGTCAGAAGCACGGGATGGTGAGAGGATTCACTAGAGCCAGAGCGGGGAACAGAACAGGCAGGATGACGAAATACACTGCTGAGGGGAGCAGTGGGCGCAACAGGAGAGGTCTGTGCGCCATGTGGGACCCTCACCGGTGGCTGGGGATCGAACCGGCACTGCAGAGGCTGTGGGCAGCTTCACAGCCCAGGGCTCAACCGCTGCGCCACCAGGGGAGGCCCAAGAAAAAGTTTCTTGCTTTTGCTTTCCTTCCCTGTCTGTGACAGGGCCTGAGTTGCCATTTTATTTTCTCCTCTCAAACTTTTGCCTAAACTGGAGATATTCCCTCTGCATAAAAACACAATTCTATTTTCTCTTCCCTTTCAGATGCCTGACCTTCTGTTCATCTTTGGCCTTCCTTTCATTTGTGTCCCTAAAATGGAAAAGTAACTGCTGCTTCCAAAGTTGCAGTTAGCCATCCCCTCCTTCTTTAAGTCCATTTTCTGCTTCCATTCCAACCAGTGGGATACACCTGCTTTTGCCTTTTTATTACAAAAATGTTTTTTGTCACTAAATTTATTGACTATTTCTCAGGGCATGGCTTTTATTATTCTAGAGATTTGTACATCTTAGTTCACAATAACCTTAGGACCTCAGTATTTTCTTAAGGCATTCTTAGGCTAAAAGAAATAAAAGAACAGTCCCATTTACCAGTTAAATAATTATGTATAAGCAACTAAACAGTAGTTCTTTACAAAGTATCCAACAGATGTTAACCTGATTCCTTAAAACCTGCAAAATACCCCACAATACCTCGGTGAATTTAATGTGGCATCTTAGGGTGACTTGGCACACAGTTTGGGAACTATAATTTTATCCTCTTGCCAGGCTCATTGGCCATCCTCCTTCAGATGAAACTCTTGTTCCTGAATTTAAAGTATTATCAGCAATTGCCAGAGTCAGCCCTCCTTCCCTTCTCTCCCAGGGGCTTTGATTTACTTCAGCATCATCAACTTCCTTGTCAAGCAAGGTAGATTTGTTTCTCACAAAAGAGAAGTAATTGTATTTTCCCACTAAGAATCACCCTTCCACTCTAAGGTGAAGATTACCTTTGACTTCCCTCTAGGATATTTTCCCCATCTAGCGGGTCATAGAGATTTGTTAATTTTTCTGTTGTCATGTATCCTATGGCTT